AGCTCCTCACTGCAGGTTTCGAGAGCTTTAGTCTCTGTCTGTAAGCAGGAACCAGATGTATCATGGAGTGATCTGAGAAGCCGAGGGCTGGCTTGGGAACAGCGCGAAAAGCTCCGCGCACGGTGGTGTAACAGTGATCCAGAGTGTTCTCCTCTCTGGTCGGGCATTTGATAAACTGTCTGTATTTGGGTAATTCCTGGCTCAAGTTTCCCTTATTAAAATCCCCCAGGATAATAATCAGAGAGTCCGGGTATAAGCGTTCCATACACAGTACTTGCTCTGCGAGTGCGCGCTGAGCCTCGCGCGCGTCCGCGCATGGCGGTATGTAAACAGAGGCAAGAATGAATGAAACAATTTCCCGCGGGGAGTAATATGGTTTACAATGGATGAAAAGATATTCCAGAGCAGGAGAGCAGTGCTTGGAGATCACTGTCACATCGTTACACCAGTTTGTATTGACGTAGAAACAGAGCCCTCCGCCTCTGCTCTTCCCTGAGAGCGCACAATGGCGATCCGCGCGAAACAGCCCAAAGCCCTGCAGCTCCAGAGCGCAGTCCGGGATCCGCTCATTTAGCCAGGTCTCAGTGAAGCAGAGGACACAGGATGTGGCGAAGTCCTTGTTTCTTCTCATGAGCAGGCTGAGTTCGTCCATCTTATTGCCCAGTGAGCGTACGTTGGAGAGAAAAATGCCGGGGAGAGCCGTGCGCGCTCCTCTCCTCCTAAGACGCACGAGCAGGCCTCCTCGCTTTCCCCTTTTACGGGCCCACACTTTTTTGGCTAGAACATGAACTAAATCAGCCGCAGATGCCAAGAAAACAGGCAGTAGGTCCATGGGAACGGTGGGTCGGATGTTCATAAGTTCCTCACGGGTGTAGGAACAGCCAGATGCACAGTTAAAAAGTAAAAACAAAAGAAAAAGAGAGCAGCAAAGAGCCATGTCGACCGTACGAGGCGCCATCTTGAAGATTCAAGATCACTTGAGATCACTTGTTACTATGAGAGAGTTATTATACGAGAAAGTGTTTTAGTCAATGAGAATCTACAACCAGGGGCACTTGATACTGTAGCTGATAAACAGTGTAAAAAACTAAAATGTTTTTGTGGTTCTTTTCAAAGACCTTGTTGACATGTTTCCGCTGCAGAGCTGCGAGTCATCTTCACAGCTGTCACCTGCCTTAGTGACGTGTCATGTATCAGCTGATGTTACTTCCTGAGTGGGCGTGGCCAGCCTGATTGACTTGACATTCCCATGTAATGTCACAGTGTTACAATGACATCATACATGTTACAGAACTGGGACAGGAGCTTTATTACAGGAGTCACAGGTTTATAGAAGAAAACCCTAATATTAGCTTGGGTGGATCGAAATACTACTCCAGGTTTATTTCTGCTAAAGTAACAATGTTGCATAATTGATTATATAACATGTATTTGTCCTTAAGTTGACTTTGTGAACCTTTTAGGAAACCGGTCAATTTGCTGAGGTCACATACTGCCCCTTTAATTACCAGTGCTGTGTCATTTTTAGAGTGTTATATTGGACCTTTTTAATGGTTTTGTTTCATATCTTTGCAAGAAAAAAACTAATCAAATTCTAAGTCTCAAGAGAGGGCCTAAAGACACAACAGGACGAGAACAAGGCGTCTCTAAAACACTAAAGACTTAAAAATAGTGCTCGCTCTTCTCGTGTCATTGTTCTGCGTCACCGTCTGCTCAGATCCTCCTAGACTAAATGAATATTAGTTTTACTGTGATCGCCTCCTCTCGCTCAGGGAACAATGTGATCTGCAAAGCACGCCGGGAAATTGCAGATTTAATGAGAATACGAAAGAACCCAGCGAGGAGAGAGCTGTGGTGACGGTTATCTGAGGCATCGTTTTCCTCTGTGTTGAAAAATGTATTGGCAAGAATATATTTCTATACATATAAACATCTATTGAATAGGCCTTTTGTATGTATTTTCTTTTGCATAATATTTTAGACACAATTCAGGCAGGCAACATCTCTACAAACAAGTACCTACAATAAACCTGAAGATACCATCGCAATATCTTTGAGATCAACCCTTTTATCTTAAATTTTGCTTCGAGTGGAATAAAGCCTTCCCCTGATCAACCAGACATGCAAGTAATTCCTCTTGTCTTGCATTCCCATCTCCCTTTAACAGCCTCTAAGCGCCATTTCCTATCGCTTTCGCGGTTTTATGGCTGCTTTCTTCTAATACTTTTCCCATTCAATGTGCGGGCCTCATTCCCCCACACGCGGCGCAACATCGGCCCAATCACGTTTTGGATCGTAGCAATCATCAGGCTTCTCATTTTAACAAGCTGCAGCTCCACGTCTCTTAAACGACCAAGGGAAAGAGTGCAGAGCTCTGTCCAAGACGAAAGGAGAAAAAGGAGTTTCGGCTGTTGTGATGGGTTTTGTCTTCTGAATTTTTGCCAGGATTGCCGAACTACTGTCTGTCTTCTATGTTAAAGTAGCAATATGTAAGAGTTTCATGTCACGTTATCATTTAATGGCCCTAATGTGTCAAAAGGCATTAATAAAACATGCTCTTTTCGAATTCTTCTTTCACTGATAACAGTAGTTCAGCCAAGATAATAGTTTTACAGCCCCTAAAACTTACTATTGTTTTAATTTCAATGTCCCGCCCTCCACCGTTTTACCAATCAAAAAGTCTGTGATCCGAGTTGCCAAAACTCACCTCATTGAGCAAATCTCGCTGGTAAAGTAATATTATTAGTATGTGGCTGCAGAACTAAAAACAATATGATTCTCAAATCATTAATGACAAAACAAGGAACATGGATTTCTATCCGCTCCTTTGTGAAAAATGTGTTGTTGACAAAACTCTTGTCTTTTCAGCTATTATGGTCCCAGCTGGATTCGTCTGCATATCTGGTTACCTGAGTCAGGGAGAGTGGGAGAGGTTGCAGTACCGCTTTTAGCCAGAATTTTACGTATTGCCCCTCTAATGCAGAGATGAAAGGCAATAAAGCTCAATGTTGTCAATAACACATTTTGGACACATATACGCCAATGTACAACAAAACAATAAGAATACAGACAACAAGAAAAGTCAACACATCACATACAAGCCAATTTCTCACAAATCTTCTGGACAACAAACATGATTGGCAGCAGAAGTGGTGAACATTTTTTTGCTTGTTTTAACTCAAAAGGTGTGGAGACAACGCAAGCATGGGCTGTCTGTTACTGTATGTTATGGAGGGGAGTAGACCAAAGTATTTCCCGGGGTATTCCCTGGTCGCTATGTCAACTCTCTTTCTGATTGGCTGCATGTCACAGTCAAAAAACTCATGCTACTGTAGCTTCCTTTAGCGGGACGCCACACATGACAAGACATCGGGCCGAGACAATCCAACTTGTTGAATATCCCTAGTTTGCTTTCCCAACGTCCTCAACTCAAACTGAACTTGGACTGAGCTAGTTTTAGGAATTTGTAAAACAAAGCCAATCCTGTGACTATTATTACTTGAAGGATGTTTTGCCTTTTTATGGTGTGAATGTAATATATGTATTTAATTGTTGTTTAATTGTGAATTGGAATGAACATTGCAAATTAGCCTTAGCTATACATTTTGCTGTGTTGAACAAATACCTTTCACTTACTGATCAATTCAATAAAAGCAATATTATTTTGTATGTAATAATTGTATGTATGCGTATTGTGCTTTGAAGCTTGTGTATTGTGTTTTAGTGTGCGTTTGAAATCGTGTTATGAAGCTTCTTGGATTGCCTTGGGAACTAGATAAATGGATAGATAGACGGAGTTATCTGGATGAATGGATTGATAGATGGACAGCTAAATAGCGAGAAGGGTGTGAGCGAAAGAGAGAGCGCAGAAGCGGTGTATAGACTTAGCTGCTCCTGATGTCTTCATTAATATGGAAATATGCGTGTGTAAGAGCATCATTACGGACTCATCAAGGCCCTGTGAACATTTGGCAAACGGAGCGTGGAAATGACAAAGGAAACACACTTATGTACAAGCCTGTGTGCGTTCGCATTGATGTAGTGCGCTGTTTACATAGCGAGCGAAGGAGTCTCGTCGGCTTAATGCTGTAAAACACACAGCAACACACTCGCAAGCAGCAAGAAGTCACACAGGATCAATCACACAGGCTGATGGTTGGAATCATTCTGTTAGAAATGTGCGTTATTTCATGTGCTCTTTGACCATATCTCCGAATTCAACTCGAAATGATACCAGGTGAGGGGCGGGGCATCCAGAGGCTAGCGTGGTTCGTTAGTCAGCTCTTGGCCAATCAGAATGTAGCTCAAAACTCACACAAAAAGAGTTCGTATAACACAAAAAATAGAACACAGAAAAAAACACACAAACACACAAAATCTGATTTGTAAACTCCTCAGTCCGTTTCCTGAACTTATAAAGTTTCTGATCACAGGGTTATTTGTATTAATTTATTCAAGATCATACAAGCATCCACTGATATTATTGCCAAATTAGGAGGCACACTACAGAAGATTAAGAGTATACATTTCCAATTTCCATTCTATGTCATAATTCCAAACCATGCCTGAAGTTGCCAAAAGACACATCCAAGACTGAAGTTCTCTGAGTTGAAAACAGTCGGCCATATTCAAGTCACTTGCACTTTTCCTTGTGTGTATTCACATGTTGTCATGGAAACGTGTGTCTAGTGAAATGCACATGAGTGTTGTTGTTTGAAATCTGGATTCTCCTGAAATACTCAATGACTAATTGTTTTAACCATTTTTACAAGATTGTTTCTTCACTGGAAACACGTGTAGTCGTATTTAGCTTAATCCACATTACTCATCATCACAATTTATACTCCATTTAACAAAACGTTTATTATAAAAGACCTTGAGTTGATGATGTTGCCACGGTGACAGTATGATACATGGCTGCTCTGTTTTCTTTTAAATTTGTTGGGAAATTATATTTGTGGGAGGGGATTTTTTGGAGCAGAAAGCCGACGGATTTCACAATGAGCGTCCTGCACAGTGGGCTTCCACACAGCAAAGTGAGTCTTTACCTGGTCTTTGGTCAAAAATGCATTTAGCTTGTTTGGTTTATTTGTCGGGTCACACTGCAGAAGAAATGCAGTCTCATCAAATCAAAATGTAATGGATTTGAATGTTTTATCTATTGAATGTTTTATCTATGTTGAAAACTAGGCAGGACACATTGACAAAAACGTTGTGGTCAAAGAACACTTGACACTATTCAAAGAAACTTAACACTTTTGAATTTTAACATGCTTTAAACCCCATGCTTCTTGATTGAGTGTGTAAATTCCCACTACTTCCCATAGATACAGTTACAGATACAGTTAATTTAATGCATAATATTAGTTAGTTCTTAAATGTTTAAAGATATTCACTATTTGTATCATTTTAGATTTGTATGATACTGTATGAGTCACATTATTTTCCCGTTGATTTTCCACTTGCCTATACGTGTACAAGTGGTGTTTTGTGTGTGTGTCATTAGCGGGAGTGCATCTCTTTGCATGTGGGCCAGGCCGGGGTGCAGATTGGGAATTCCTGCTGGGAGCTGTACTGTCTGGAGCACGGGATTCAGCCTGACGGTCAGATGTGCGGCTCCAGCCTCAGCAGCCCCGACGACAACTCCTTCAACACCTTCTTCAGTGAGACTTCAGGGGGCAAGCAGGTTCCCAGGGGAGTGCTGGTGGACCTGGAGCCCACCGTAATAGGTAAGCAGGACTGTAGAAATATGTAGAAAGATAAGAAAAACTATACAATACAATTAACAATCAAGTCATGTTAACATAAAACCAGAAGATATAAAAACGTACAAAAAGACACACAATCATCCATCCAGAAACACGGATTTATGAAATGTTGTATTATCTTTTTACAATGCATTGATGCAACAACTTTCACTCACATGATGACGTCTTGATGATGTGTGTGTTTGTGTGTGTGTGTGTGTCTGAATTATATTGTCAGACGAGGTGCGAACTGGGATGTATCGTCAGCTGTTCCACCCTGATCAGCTCCTCTCGGGAAAGGAAGACGCGGCCAACAACTACGCCCGTGGACACAACACCGTGGGCGTACAAATGATAGAGCCAGTAATGGACAGGATCCGCATACTGGTCAGGGCACACAGCTTTGTATCTCTATCCTGTGTGACGCACATTGGGTTCAAAAATATTCTAGAGCCGCATCAACAAAAGTCTGCCGGCGATGAAAAGGTGGTGCACATCAATTCTGCAGTTTTGAACCCATTTCAATCATTAAACCACCTCAGATCAATATGGTGTTATTTAAACAGACAAAATTTGGGCAGGAATCAATATACGAAAACAGAGAATGTCTGAGGTCTTTCCTGTCTAGTATGCAGTGACACGTTTTGACTATTGCGTCTTCATCAGAAACATTTTCTAAGCATAACACGCATGTCTGTCTATATGCAATCGCAGCTACAATCGCAGTCTTGCATATTATGTAAATATATTTTGTAATATACAATATGTATATATATATCTGTTTGTAAATGTTAACTTATGCTTGTGCTAATGCACTACTGGTTAGATGCTAAATGACATTTTGTTGCATTGTTCTGACATTGTATTGATAATAAGGTTTACTTGCACTAGAATATACAAAAGAAAATTCTAGCTCCTTATTATGCTAAAGTCAGGTTTTTTTTAAATACTTCAGTCTAGTTGGAGATTTTAAGACTTTTTTCATTATTATTTGAAAGATATTTTATTTTGCTTCTTTTTAGGCTAGAGTTGAAGATGTTATTTTATTGCATTTTTGTAAACATAAAGTATTAGTTTATCTTGTGCTGTGTGTTCCTCATTCCGTTCTGTAACTTGTGATGCGACACTGACATTTCTCCACAGTGGAACAAATACAAAATCCCTTAATCTTAAAAAACTGTATACTAATATGAATCTTTGGTCTGAATAACCAGATGCTTGCCCTCTTTGTGTCCTACTACAGACTGAACAATGCGCTGCTCTCCAGGGCTTCCTCATCTTCAACAGTTTTGGCGGGGGCACAGGCTCGGGCTTCACCTCGCTGCTGATGGAGCACCTGGACATCGAACACAGCAAGAAGACCAAGATCCAGTTTGCCATCTACCCGGCGCCACGGCTGTCCACCGCCGTTGTGGAACCCTACAACTCTATCCTCACCACGCACACCAACATGGAGTACGCCGACTGTGCCTTCATGATGGATAACGAGGCGCTGTACGATATGTGCCGTTTGAATCTCAACCTGATGCAACCGACGTACAAAAATCTGAACCGTCTGCTGGGTCAGCTGGTGTCCAACGTAACGGCGTCGATGAGGTTCAGTGGAGATCTGAACGTTAATTTGACCGATCTGCAGACAAACTTGGTGCCATTTCCTCGCATTCACTTCCCGCTGTCTTCCATGGCCCCGGTGATCTCTACGCAGAAGGCGTACAGCGAGCAGATGACGGTGAGCGACATCACCAAGGCGCTGTTTGAACCCGCCAGTCAGATGGTGAAGTGCGACCCGCGAAGAGGCAAGTACATGTCCTGCTGCCTGCTGTACCGTGGAGACGTGGTGCCCAAGGAAGTGAACATGGCGGTGGCCAGTATCAAGGCCAAGCACATGCTCAACTTTGTGGATTGGTGCCCGACAGGCTTTAAAGTGAGTACGACACTTTACATGTTAGGAATGTGTTTGGTCAACCTAGGGAACATTGGAGGCGAACTGAGAGATGTTTTTCCCACATATTGACTGAGCGTAAATTAGCCAAAACTGATATTTTTTATTGACAAACTTCCACACACAGGCTGAGGTCATTGGAATAGAATAGAGTAGAAGCTATAACACATGCTGCCTTTCATATTGACCTTTTTTGGTTTAACCTACACGCCTTTCTGCTGTTTCTACCACATAGCTATGCTCCGATTATAATTCAGGTCTTGATATTCCAACTGTAAATGAACTCACCACAAACACTCTGTATTACAATCATGTATCACATAAATGAAACATTATGTGAGTTCATTTAACTACATAATATGTATAAAGGTTTACTTTTGTACAGATAATACAATGTGTTAGTCCCAACATAAATAGTCTTGTAAAGTAAAATGTTGTGAACAAATCAGAGCACAACATGCTCTCTTCATTTTATTAGAAAACATATTTACATATTTACATATTTTCCATATTTGTAAAAAGAGCCCTGGAAGTTACTAATTTGACGTTTTGGGCTGAGAGCTGAGTGATGGTGGTTCTCCCTTATTAATTGTTTTCTCTGGAAAAGCTGATCAATGCTGTTGATGCCAAAAATACATGCATGTAAAAACTAGTATTGAACCAAACTGTTTTGAGAGTGAGGGATTGATAATGTAAGGTTTAATTATATCCCGTGGGCAGTAAAAGGATAGCACTCTCGCTTCTCAGGAAGAAGGTCCTGGGTTCGAACCCCGGGCCTTTCTGAGTGGAGTTTGTTCTCCCCATGTCTGCGTAGGTTTCCTCCGGGTGCTCTGGTTTCTCTTAGCATTAAAAACATGCACAATAGCTATGAATGTAAATGAGGGATTAAATGGATTTGATGCGCCAGTGTGTTTGGCGACCCGCTTCCGTCATCACATCACGGTAAAGGTGCACTTTATTAATCCCGGGAACCCATCTCCAGATGCTGATGCTCGGCTTGGTCAGGACTACCGGAGCTGGAGGATTTAACCTATAGTGAGCATGTTTGTTAGTGGGAGGAAACCTACGCAAGCACGGGGAGAACATGCAAACTCCACTCAGAAAGACCCTGTTTCGATCGGGATTCGAACCCAGGACCTTCTTGCTGAAAGGCGAGAGTGCTATCTACTCAGCCGCCCTTATTTTTATTTTATTTTTTTTACGGTAAAGAGTGATTGGAACCATATCTGAACTCTAAACATTGTAAAGCACTTTGGGTGACCTTGGTCTGTAAAATGTGCTACATAAATAAACATTAATTACTTACTTACTCACCCGCTAACATCGAGTTAGAGGGTGAGTTTTTCCAGAACCTCAAGCCTAAATAGTGAAATGTGCGGTCTAACCAGTCTAACCAGTCTCATGCATTTGAAGGTGGGCATCACATCGCAGCCGCCCACAGTGGTGCCAGACGGAGACCTGGCCAAAGTCCGAAGAGCTGTCTGCCTCCTGAGCAACAACACGGCCATCACTGAGGCCTGGGGCAGACTGGGGCACAAGTTCGACCTGATGTTCTCCAAGCGAGCCTTTGTGCACTGGTACATCGGCGAGGGGCTGGAGGAGTCAGACTTCACCGAGGCCCGAGAGGACGTGGCGATGCTGGAGAAGGACTACGAGGAGGTGGCGAGAGATACTGTGGAAGATGAATAGTCTTAACCCAGCAATAAATGAAGTTGACCCATGTGTTGTAAGAGTACTTCAGATACTTCCACTGTTTACAGCCTTCATGTTGATCTAATGCTGCGCGATTAAGCAAAACAAAATAAGATATGGATTATATTGCTCCCATAATCATTATTTGGACAATTATGATTTAAAACTTAATTTCAGCATAAGCCACAAAACTGTTTCATGAAATAATATTTGTATTTCCATCCCAAAAAAATCCTAAAAAGTCTGCTGACATCTAAAATATATTCACTGCAGTGCCTCTTTTGAAATCACTGTGCATTGTGGACACTTGCTGCATGGCTAAACTATAGAAGCCCCAAGCAGCAGAGGCCAAAGAAAACTGCACTTTATCCTGTCCATTCTCAATTTTGACATTTCTCACATCTTTGATTTTCCTAAAAAGGTTGATTCATCCACAGCCTGACTTCAATATTTTACACTTAAGATCATGACCCTGAACCTTTACTTTGGTATTGTATGCTTTCAATATTGACAAAATGGTGTGTGTGTGTGTCTTTTCATTATTTTATTTTTTTTACAGAAAATGGTCCCCAAAATGTAGCATTAAAAGTAGGATAAATCTTAAAATGAAATGGCCTTTTCACGTAGTCTTTTCTAAAGTTGGTGTGTAGGATGAAGACCAAAACACTACTCCCTCTCCTACCAGGTGAGTGGTTGTTTAAAACACATAAAAAAAAGGGGGCGTATGGAGTGGTGATAAACGCCAGAGTAATTGTGTAAAAGTTATTGTGAAGGCATGCTAATGGACAGCTCCCTGGTGGCTATGGTGGCTCAGAGAGGACTAAAAGGATCAGAGTGAAATGAATGGCCTGCTGGATAACAAGCTCTAACAGGCTTTTAGACCCTGGCTTTAGTGAGGGGGTCAGACGTACAATATACAGAATGAGCTGTAGCCGCATCGCCAATGGCTTCCACTGCTTTGCATCAAGGTTTTAAAGAACACATGAGCACAATTGACTTGAGCTTTTAGCCAGGTTGTTCCAGTTTTCATACTAATTTGTCAGTCTTTCAATGTCTTAAAAAATGACTTTCTTCTTGCTTGCTACTTACACAATCCTAGGTATCTCTGAACATGTTTAATTGTCCAACAGAATAAAAAACTAAGGGAAGAACTTTGCAATTGCAGTTTTTTAAAGGTGCATTATGTACTATTTTAGCAGATTTCAGAGTTAAAGAACAACACCCATGCACTCTTTTGCAGGGCAGGTGGAGGGTAGAGTCAGATGAATTGTATGTTATAATGTATTGATTTTATTTGATAACATCTTTAAGACACCTGAAAACTATACAAAAATATGTATTTATTTCTTGTTTATTTCAGAATAAAAAGAACACAGAGTATAATACTGTTGTCTTACTGTTTGAAAATGTTCTGAAAGAGCTCGCCAGAGATTATTTTCTCCAAACTTGTATCAGTCATTCAACAATGTGCTCCCAACTTTGTAGATCCACTCGCTGACCGCAAACTCGCCTTTGGCTTTGTGTATGTGTATGTGTATTTGAATAAAAATAAAAACATCGGCAGGCGAATAGGCAAGTTGTATAAATAAAGCTTTTTGCTTAATCCGATCCCTTGTTCAAATCATGTACGGGGATTTTTGTTGGTATTATTTTATTCTAAAGTGTTTTGCTAGCACCACAGTTGCTTAGGGTATTTTATAACAGACTAAATTGTTCTTCCCTGAGAATAGTCCCAATTTAATTTTCTTACTATACCTCAATTCTCACCAGTTTTACAGTAAACATCAGATTTGCCCTCTTGACTTGTCTAACTTGAGCACATCCAAAGCAGACACGTGGCAATCCTGCCTTATACATGTGACAGCTGCAGAGGAAAGCTGAATGTGATATTTGGGAGTTAGTTCTGGACCAGTGTTCTCTAAAATAATCTTTAAAATGTGCAGAATCAGCGTGATGCAGGTACTTGGATATGCAGAGCGGAGGCAGGTGGAGGGTAGCTCTGGGCCAGATTGTTAAACGCAGCCGTGCATACTCCTAATTTAAGAGCACTACGGGAAAGTGAGCCTAAAAATGTAACGTTTCTTCTTTTGTCAGAGAAGCATTTTTACGCCACCTGATCAGGATCATTTCCTGTGTCTGTGCAAACGTTTTAGGAAAAGATAAAGACTTTTAAATATAGAAAAAAAAGTTGAGTGCATAGTGCCCGCGACACCAGTGTATATGTTTGTAAGTGCATTTCAAAATTGACTTAAAACAACATTTTCTTAAAGAGTTTTGCTGAATTGACAGTTGTCTTGTCCCCATAAACATCAAGATTGATCACCTGTCATTGTTTGAATCAGTGTTGGCTTTTCACTGTGTGGAAGACAGGAACATGTCAGAAGAATAGCTTCAAAACAAACTTCAGACTTTATAATGCATTGGTTTTACAGAGCGCTTTTCAGGACACTCAAAGACGCTTCACATGCCGTTATCTTTCACTCAATACACGGTAGTGATAAACTACAACTGTAGCCAGAGCTGCCCTGGGGCACACTGACATAATTATGCCATCTGCCCCCCCAACCGCCACCAACCATTCACACACACACCAAACTCATTCTAGGCGATATGGGTGAAGTGTCTTGCCTAAGGACACAATGACAGTTGTGGTACTTTACTGCCGCAGCCGCCCCACTCTGGCACCAGGTGTTCCCAGATGTCTCCCATCCCAGCACTAAACTGGCCCTGCCCTCCACAGCTTCAGAGGTCTGATGGGATCTGCCTTTTGCATGCAAGCATGGCTACCTAAGTCCAAAGCAAGTCTGAGAGAATCAGTAGAATCACAGCACAGTGCATCCAAGTTCTCAGGACACAAAATGAACTATACATCATGATGGCGCAGTGGTTTGTGTTTGTGATTCGCAGCAAGAAGTTCCTGGGTTATACTCCACTTCCAGACGGGACCTTTCTGTGCAGAGCTTGCATGTTCTCCTCATGTCTGCGGAGCTTTCTTCCAGGTGCTCTGGTTTTCTGCACTAAAAACATATACAATAGGTCTAGGAGGCACCTTCTGTAGGCGACCCTGATTCCATCATGGTGTGGAGTGAAAGGAAAGATGTCCACAACAATTATAAAGTGCTTTGTGACTCTCGTTTTGTGAAAGTAAATACATTAAAATAAAGATTTCTACAGCCACTGAGAGCTTCATTCTTTTTAAGGCTTATACAAAGTGAAGAGAACGAAAAACGAGTCATGTACAGGCAAAGAAGACATTTTATTGTCGCAAAGACACAAATGTAATGAGGGGGGCTATGGAGATTGGGGACAGAATGAGTGAACCAGAGAGGATCTATTTTAAACGGGTGTGAGATGACTGGGTGAGAGCACACTGTATTTGCCAAGGGAGAGATCGGGACTCAGTGAAGGAGTGTTGTGAAGTGGACTACACGCAGGGGCAGAGGAAAACTCTGCCTTGTGTGTAAGTCTTGCGACACTGCACCATCGTAGCCTCAGGCCCTATAGTCTCAGACACCATGCTGGCGTTTTGCTTTGTATTCCCAGGTGACCCGGTGCATGTGGAGAGGGACCGCTCCCCGGGACAGCACGCCGCACTTTCTTGGACTGTCGTTCTTAAGTCTTTTTAGCCCACCTTGTTTTTATGGACTTTTAGTATAAATGTGGACAATTTTATCATTTTATTTTTTATAATAAAATCTGTAATTTACAGTTCTCCTGTCCTCCCTTGGCAAATACAGTGTGCTCTCACCCAGTCATCTCACACCCGTTACAATAGACCCCCTGTGGTTCACTCATTCTTTCGCACAATCTCCATAGCCAACCCCCATTACACAAAGACACCGCCAAAGATGTTTCTGTGTGCTTATGGATTTACACCATGGAGGACTCCAATCAGCACCCGCCACCGCACCAGTAGCATCAGCCTTCAGATAACTAAAACATCCAAGAAGAAAATACCCTTAGAATGAGGAGTTCAACTTTAACCACAGTTGCTTCTAAAATGTTTTAAGGGATCCAAACATTTATTATCCCTCGTGCCACGTGGGTGTAGTTGTGTTACTGTCTTTGCCTGACACACATGTAAACAATGGGCATTACAAGAGTTTGGTTTTAATGATTTCTGAATTACTGCTATATTTGGTTGAGTTTATATCTCAAAAAAAACACTACTTGAGCCACAAGTTTGACCCAGGTTTTGGGTGGAAAACCTATGATTTTGCTGAGTGGGAATGATGATTGAATTTTCCCCTCTACGCTCTGTTTTAATACAAAACAGACCAAATAAACTGGAAAAACTGGATTCTTTCAACCACATGAAATAAATGAAATTCATGAGCTCAATGTGGGGTCTGCATATTCTCTCTCTGCAATATACAACGTGACTATAGTTTGTGTGCAACTGCGATGGAAAAACAGGCGGGATGAATTAGCACATCAGTGGTATCCAGGGGAGACGGGCTGCCACTGCTGCGAAGTAATAGGCCTTCAGAGCAAAACAGAGCCATTAGTGATCTTTACTGCAATTTACAACAATTTATAGCAATAATTCAAACAAAATCAACAACGTACTTCTGTGCCACCTGAGAATGTTTCCATTTAGCACTTGCAAAATGTGAACTATAATTCAAAACACCATTTTTGGAATATAAATACTCTACATTCGACATGCATTGGGGAAAAAATAGTGCATTTTGAGGAGAAAAAAATGACAAAACATATCAGGAACCAGTACAAAATTGAAATTGTCATGGCTAACACTTTATTTATATGATTGATGACATTTACAATGGTATACTATTTCATGTACAGGCAGGCACAAAAATGTTTTAAAATATAATAATGTGAGACAAAGTGTATTCTTTCATAAATTCAAACGACACCAATATAAGAAAACCCAAACAGTTGGACCAAACAGCGTCTCAATCCAGACCAAATCCAGACTAAACCAAGTATAAACAAACATCTCTCGTCCACAAACACTTCAGAACATCAGAAAA